TGGAACAGCAACAAGAACCTTCAACAACGCAAATACATGCGTCTTTGGCTCGTCGCCGCGTCTGGACTCAAGCTTCACTCAACACCTGACCTGTCTGCCCCACATCTAAACGAATGGAGGCCACATGCCAGCAAACCCGATCTTTAACATCTTTTCAATGCCAAAATCGAAGTTTGTGCTGTGTGTTCAGATCGGTGGCAAAGCGAGTTTTGACACTTCGGGATGGTCTCGCTAGCACCATACAGGCACATCAAGCTGCTTTGCACAAACTAGCCTTGCTTGATGCCTGGACTCGACCTTCTTGTGGTGTACAGGAACCGTGAAATATCAGGAACAAGCTCTGTGCGGAGTCGACATGATCTAAGCCGGGTCAGATCCACGCTGCATAGCACTTGAGGACTTGAGGATATCCCATGCCCCTTAATGGCCGAGCAGCATAAGTGGAACGGGCAGAAACAATATCTAATTCATCCAGGAGCGGGCGCAAACCTCAGTAGCTCAGGTCAGCAGCACCACAAGATCATGGACAGCAACGTCAAAAATCATGCGGGCATCCCCTTGTTGCCAGAATGAGAATATGTATATACATGCATGCATGCATGCATACATACATACATACCTACCTGTACATATGCAGTACACCCTAAACCCTAAACTGTGTCCGTGCCTGTCATGGCTCGATTACGGTGCCGACTGGTAGCCTGGAAGGAAAGCTGCACAGCTTGTCTCCACCCATCCCTCCAACGCATTCGTCACAATAACGACCCTGCCATACGCCATGGCCTGGGCCACCACGGAAGTGAAAAATACTGGCGCAATCGCCCCCCAACTCAGGGTGGCTCCGAGCTACGTGCCGGTCGCTCGCAGTCACTTTGCATGCGATGTACTTATGCTGCAGTGCTAAGTTCCAGGCCGTCAGTAAAGTCTGTTCCTGCCAGAAGAAAGCACAGAATGCGAGGAATTTTACACAAGTGCAAGAACCGGCAGAAACATGGTCATTGCGGCCACGCCGCAACTTTGACCTCCAGCTCTTGTAGCAAGACCTGCTGCTCTCGAGTCAAGCTGACTTCCTTGGTCATTGCTGGATTCTACGAGCCACTTCGCCAAGGCAAGCCCCCGAACAACCAGCCAAGCTGACTTCCTTGGTCATTGCTGGATTCTACGAGCCACTTCGCCAAGGCAAGCCCCCGAACAGCCAGTCTCTCTTCGGCAGAGCTGCATCGACGGAATCTAAACCACCATCCTCGTTCAACCAACCCTGGCAGACTCTCAACCGGTGATGCGACTTGTGTGCACATTCGGCTTCCTTACTGCAGCAGCTGTGACTTTCTTCAAAGGGCATGCCGTCAAATCCCCTATATTTTACGAAGCGCGTAAGGAGTGATGTCATGATTCGTCATGATATTCTTCTTCAGACCATGACCCGATGCCATGGCACATGCAAAATGCCTCAAGTTCTGCACGATAGCCAGCTTTGCAAAACTCAGGCCTGCCGAGAAATCCAGCTGGTTGGAAGCAGTGTGTCATCCCAGTCGAAGAACCTGGGTCGAAGGTGGAACATATCAGCCGACAAACATGATTGAAGATTGTGGCTGGGAGAACCTGGATGCGAAGGTTGTCGGAAGACATGGCTGATGAGCTTGCTGCATCAAGCAAAGAAGTACGAATCTATGCCTTGGACCTGGAAACGGACCTTGCTCCAGTAAGGAAGCCGAGAGACAGAAGGGCTTCGGGAGCATCGAAGCTTTTTGGACTCTCGCCGGAAACATCGCTGCAGTCCTTGCATACTGGCATACGTCAGGCCGCTGTAGCCACACCACATGTGTTTTGCTGCAGTATGACATCACCAAAAGAAGGGCAGAAAAGAAGGCTATACTGTTATACTATACTTCTCCACTTTGCCTCAACTCGACACTAACTTGCTTGGCATTGAATTCGCGGAAAGGCCGCCTCGCCTGTAAGGCAGTCCAAGGCTCTGTGCTCAAGCACAATTCTGAGTTCTCTGAAATGGTTTCCAGACAGGAATTGAACTTGAGATCTCCTTAGTAGGCCATGGATGGACGATCCCTCAGCGTTTCTGCAGGGTCTGAGCCGGAGACTCATCGCATCTGCATAGGCAAGGGACGCCATTGCTACAATCTAATCTGGCGCTGGTGCCCGGTGTTGAATCGCACTGCGACATTTTGGTGGAAGTGAGACTTCGAAGACATGCTGGAGCTGAGGGTGAAGGGTGAAGTTGAATCGAGGGGTGACAGCGCCGGTTAGGACCTACGCAAAATGCAAAACGGCTGTGGCATTGACGAAGGAACCTCGCTGCCTTCCCCAACGTGCCCCGAACTGGTGTGGCTCAAACCGCCCAGCTCTTGATCTTCCTCCGAAACTACGGAGTAGTCGGTGTAGTAGACGCGAAGTTCTGCAATTCTGAAATAGACCAAACGTGCCTTCCCCAATCCGCTGTAGAAGGGATTGGAGGCTGCATCCACATAGAGCAAATTCACTTGCCTGGCTGCGTGGAAGACAACCTCAAGCCGCTTCAAGCCTCAAGATCCCATCTGTGACGCAAAAAACGGTGAAGGAGCCCAGATCTCCGCTGTTGCCGTGCGAACCTCAACATTGACCGGAGGATCGCTTCCTCATCTCGGCGCTGTCGGCATGCCTGAAATGGCACGACATGCTGTCGATATGGCAGAAGAGATGACACACCTTCACTTACCTGCCCCATCCCAAGAGTCGAAATCGGTGCGCCTGCAATTCACCCCATGCAGTTATGAGGCTTCAAGCCGTTTCGCACGACAGAAGACAAAGCCGGGAGAAGTAGAATGCCCCGTTGTACCGTAAATGTGGAAAGGTTGCCAGGCACGGGCACAAAGCAGGCATTGTAAGAAAAAAAAGGCTGGCGGTGAAGATTGCATCAGAACCGGACTTTTGGCACTTCAGGCACGGAAAACACACGAGTGTGGAAAGCAGTGCCTCACTCGGTATCTGCGCGATCAATTCACCAAGGGCCCAGCTCCATCGCGAACGATAGCAAGTACCTGAGATAAGAACACAAAACACACTGCCAAAGATGGGATGGCTTGCAAACTGCAGCAATAGTCAAGTCATGGCATCTCCCGGGAAGCCAACTTTGACGCGTGTCGCAGCAACGTATCCATAGATGTTGCAGTCCTCAACAAAAGCATCGTAGCAACATCCAAATAAACATAAAATGCACGAGAAACCCATTCACAGTGGATCACTACAGCGCATTGGTGCCACAGTTTTCCTGGGCACAATACATCAAAACAACTTCCTGGGCCCGCATGCACCAACGAATTCAAGAACATGTTATGTCCTGCAAAAATGCAAGCGGCAAGCGAGGCAAGCTGAGAAGATTCAAGCCCTCCACTCCATACAGGATGGAATGCCGTACCTTCTGTAATGCTGCAAACATTGCTAAATGATAAGGATCAGGATTAATGCAGTTCGGGCATGTGCACGTTCAATAATTTAGCCACAGGAGCTTGGACTGCGGCGCAAGCTTAAAGTTGTCATGGTACCGGAGTGTGAGGAGTGCGCTTACTGTGGGCCGTCCTGGGCGTCGAAAAGCGCCGGGGAGAGAAGGCCCAGATAAGGATCGGAGCCTTTCGCCTGGCTCAGATTTGCAACGGACAAAACCACAGAGGAACAAAATGAGAACAAGATGAGCGCGGTCGGAGAGCTGATCCCCAACCCCAGAGCTGCGACATGCAGCGACGTGCCCTGGAAGCGCCTCACCCTTCAACAATGCTTGCGCCACGTTTTGCATCTGCACCTCAGCCGGAGAGAACACCGCCCATGCAAGGCCACTGAAGGAAGCAGCGGTGGTCAGTTGAATCCACAACGCGCGGGGCGCATGCTCGCAGACCAGACATCCCGAACTGTTTTTCTTGTGACCGAGAAGCCTCCACCTGGTCCAGCGCAGCGTGCAGCAGGAGCTGAAGCCTTCACAAGTGCCAAGGCCCAGGAAATTAATCTTGGAGAACCAAAGCAGCATTCCAAAAACCCTTGCGGAAGGAGAGGCAGTGCTTAGCTCAGGCGCCAGCTCCAGGTCATCAGCATCGGGTGGAACGGCCTCAACATGTCCCGAAGAAAAAAACCAGCCAGAGTCTGCACAGGAACGATCGGAAAAGCGCTTCGGAAGAACAACGCTTCACCTCCACACACGCTACGACGGGTGGCGTGGGCAGTAGTAGCTTCCAGGCCTAACTGCCTTCAGACCTGCTTGCCCATGCAAGACGTACTGCAGTCTTCGGGACATTTTCCGTCCATGCTCGGACTCCCATTGCACCTTCCATCCGAGTCCAAGACCATTTTCCTTCGGAAGCTGCGGAAGAACAGGAGGCTTCCGTCCCTGCCTCAGAGTCGGACTGAGGCTGAATCTTGTGTCTTGCGGCGATGCACACCGATGTTCCAACATTGTTGGAACTTGTGGTGTCATGAACTTGCGGCAGCACCGGCAAGCTCGAGCCCGGCACCCACAATGGCGACGCAAAGTACCGGTGGTTCCTGCGGCACATCGGAGAACGGGCTTCTTGTGGGACTGCGCTGCTTGTAGGAATGTTTGCGTGGCGGCACGAACCTGCCTCTGCGGGGGAGGGAGCTGGCGCCATTGCCAGGCTGGCACTGCCAGAGCACCGCACAGTGCACACACTGAAAAGTCAGCATAGCTTGTGTGCTCTGGTCCTCATACTATCGCTAGACGACAAAGATCAAACTGACTTGCCCGTACTCCGTTGCGATTTACAGGGAGCCACTTGTCAATGAATGTGATGAAGGTGATATCTTGAAGCAACGTCACATTCGACGGAAAGCTGCCAATAGGTCGCCGCTACTCTTCGGCTAGGCTTAGAGCAAGAGCCACGAGTGCTGCAGATCCCAAACTGCTCCGAAAGCCGACGATGCGAAGCTTCGGCTGTGAATCTCGCCTTGTGCAACCGCCAAGATTGACGCACTTGCACGTCCTCCTTTTTCGCTGGAAACTAGAGGTATTGCAGGCCGAGGGCTTTGCGCACCTGGCAGTAACGGAAGAAAATCAGACTCAACCCAGTCGTAAAGGGCTTGTTTGCCTGTGTCTCGTGACCACCTTGCAAGGACATGCGCGAGACGTGAGCATGATCAACACAGCCGACTCGTTCGACGAATCCAGCTTCTAGCACCCATGCTCTTGCAATTGTTCCAAGATGCATGCAGTCCCTTCATCCACCTGCTCCAGGAGCGGAAAAGTCAGGATGGCATGAGGTCCTGCCCCACGAGTAACTTCTTGATCACGGGAAAAAGCTGCCCCTAACCCCGCAAGGACTGTGTCGCAACCTGCCTAGGCGGCAGTATGCCGGCCACCAGCCGCGGAAGAGACTGGCAGGCCCCTGACCCCGAAATGGAAAGGGCGAGCAAGCCGACATGCAGAGCCGGCCACCTCCGACTGTATGATTGACATCAAGGCATCCGGGAAGCCCCGAGGGAAGCGTGTTCCTGCAGATCATTTGTGGCCGTACTGGGCGGTACTCTTTGTGTCAGCTCGTGGATACAATTCTTGGATCACAGATTTAGGGCCACTGCCATCATCTGCCATGACGCAGCTCTTCAGCGTGTCGAAGGGCGCGGCCACAGTGGTGGCCACTACTCCTGCAATGTTGCTGTCCGAGCAATGCCACTAACACAGTTCGAACCAGATCGAATCATTTCGAACCCTGACAAACGTCAGCAACATGTGAGCCTTTCCTGTGATCAGGGATGTCGCGACATGCAGGGAAAATGGCTCGCGCCGGCCATCACGAGCAGCACTCTCGACACCTGACCGTTGCATGCAGAGCGTAGTGACAGATCTACGTGCGCATAAAGAAGTGTCTGCCCGTAGCTGTGAACATATCACCAGGACCAAGGCTGGTCAAGAAATTACTTTCTACTTTCTTCAACCTGTGGGATCGAAAAGCCTAACACAAAGCCCATCCCCGCTCACTATCGTCCCCTCCCACATGATACCGAGCATGAGGCCGTGCTGCTCTAGGTGGCGAGGCGCAATGCGCAAGGCGCTGCGGATACCACAGACAATGACATGCAATGCTCAAATCCCACATGCCGGCCCCAGGCCGTGCTAGCCCCTTGAACCCTCGACACCCTGCTGCGGAATCTTGCGTCTTTCCTCTCTGAGTCCTCTACCACACAAGAGAGCTGCCCTTAACCCGAGAGACTAAAGCTTCGGAGGCCCGAAGTTCCAGGCTCGACCGAGAGTCATTCTGAGTCTACAGACTCTGTGACACTGTGAAGTGCCTGGCCAGTGCCTGCGAAGCGTAGTCTTGGTCTGGTCATAGGTCGTTACCTGCTGGCAGCATCAAGCGTACGACGCTACTGAACTAACAAATCAAAGCCAACACCTCCCTTTCCAAGCAACGGTCTTGGTCTCTTCGCCATGTGCTTCAACCAATGAACAAGAATCAGAAATTCGTCCATGAAACACGACACGCAAGCGCTCCCATGAATTCCCAGTTTTAAATCACGCAATGATCTGGCTATCACCCCTGAAGCTCCTCCTTTTCGGAGATCCTGAGACAAAGATCCGCTGCAAGCGCTCCACCTCTCCGATGGCGATGGCGGCACCTCTCGGTGCCGAGGCGCTGACGCCCCTCACCAGGAGGCCTCGGCCCGGGCATCGGGGGGCCACCTCTGAGGCATGCGAGGAGTTAGGACAGGGCACATCTTATCTGGCGGCTCCTGTACCCCGTCCCAATCCTTGGTCGTAGGCCTCGCACAAAGCCTTCATTCCGGGCAATCTCCGTGGCGGCAGAAAAGAATCCTGACGTGCGTAGCGATCAAAGCTTCAAGGCCCGTGGGCAGTCCAGGATGAGAGGCAAGTGGAATCTGCTTCTGCCCGCGGAGCCTGGATAGCGGCCAGGCTCTGCAAACAGTCGTACCTGGCGTAGTGCAAGTTGGGAAGTCATGAAGCCCTGCTTACCAGCGCGCATGAGGCCTTCACGACATCCGGGCCGTTCGCACAGAGAGAGCCACCTAGACCTGTGGCGGCTGCGGCCGCTACTCGATGACCTCGGAGACCCGGAAAGCGAGTACTCCTCTCGAGAGGTCTCGTGCGCTCCCAGAGTGGTTGCGACAAGCCGAGGCGGGTCTCAAAAACAGATCTCTCTGTCACCGTCCGAACTCTGGCAGGTGCTTGCTCTGCTGGACTGCGAATGACGGCGTATGACTGCGTATGACTGCGTAGCCGACCTAAGTGAGGCTCGGAGTCACGAGGCGAGACCTCGTCGAGACTTCAACTCGCTCTGTTTGGAGCCTCTCTGCTTGTCTCAGTGCCAGGCGAGATCTCGCGCCAGCGGATACAAACCCTTTGTGCACCCGCTGTAGAGCCTCCGGAGACATCTCGGATGCGGCCAGCCAGGAAGAGGCGCCTAAGAAAGGCCCGCGCAGCTCTCGAAAGAGGGAGGCGGTCAATCCAGGCCTGGCGAAAAAAGCCATCTCTTCAGAGCCAAAGCGAATTCACCGAAAAATGCACGAAGTGAAGGCCCCCAAGTGACCTCCAAAGGCCTTGCCAGGCACCATGCTGTCGATAAGCAGCACGGACCTGTTCAGCGAATGGTTACCTGCCCCTCGCAACTCGTTGCATCCGATTTCAAGAAAAGACCAGCAGCCCGACTTGCGACGTGCACAGTATTCGGCCCTTCAGACCCTGCGACATCCTGCGACCCTGTCCTGCTATAGCTTAGGAAAGCAAACGAATGTTAAAATGGCAACTGACCTCCTGCAACGCTGTTCGCGGAATGCCAACCTGTCTTCGAGTCTTTACCTGAGCTGACTGGCAGAGTGAGGCGCCGAGAACCCCGTCAAAGAACAAAGCAAAGCCGAAGACGCTCCGCTCATCGTTCACATCCAAGCGGCGACGTCGATTGGATTTAGCACCGCCGACACCGCCGCTGTGGAGACCCCACCAGCCAATATATCGCGCACGACCTACTGGACAAGATGGGGCTTCACCGGGGCTGCAGAAACAGCCGGTGCTAGTCACAGCCACTCAGAGCAGTGCTTGGCCGCAGCCTTTGAATGCAGTCTTGGGCTGGTGGTCTTTGCAGTTGCACAGCCGGGTCGGCGACAGATATAGCCTTGAGGTTGCTCCACATCTACATGCCAGAGGACGTGTTTCGACATTACAAAAGCAGTACTAGTGGAAGCTTGCAAGAAGTCACCCGTCACCGATCTGGCTGCACGTGCTGAAGGCTGACAGTCTTTGCCAACATCCAGCAGGCTGTGGCCCAGTTTTCGAAAGCACGTGCTATCATCTTGGCCATGTAGCAAGCGCAGTGCGCGAACAATGCAGCTACAGGCAAAGAGGGCATGGTATGTACAGCAGGGAGGTTGGAACAATGCCCTCTCCCAGGTCAGCCACAACTTCCGGCTACGACTCAGACTGCAAGCTGCCGGGTGCCCAGTAATCCCGATACCTGTCGCAAGTCGCAATTGGAATTCGCGGGGCAGGCAAACGAAGGCAGGGCGCACTCTTCCAGCCAGACAAAGAGTGTTTTCTGAACCTCCTGAAAGAGCCTCTCCCGGAGCGCTTCGCACCTGCGGAGGTCGCAGCTCTGTTCATCCACGAGAGGAGCCTTCGCACCGAGCGGCAGCTGCTCCAGCTGCTTGAACTTCGCTTCGTCCGCATTGTCGCCTTTGTAGCGCCTGAGTCTTTGGGGCCCTCCCGCCCTCCCCGTGATGGGCGGGGGATTCGGGTCTCGACTTCGCAATAACCCGGGCCAAGACCACACTTGCAGGGCGTTGGATGAAGGGTTTCGGGTGTTGCTTCGTACTCGATCATCAAGGCCTTGCCAACGCCTCTGGTAAAGACAAGCTGAAAGACAGCACTTCTCAACCTACATGCTGTGCTCTAGGATTAACCCAGAGCTTTGGGATAAATCCTGTGGCCCCGTGCCGTTTCACTTTGACAAGAAGTGGCCACCTGAGTCAACAGCTTGCAGTCACTAGCAATCTTCAACCCTCAAGAGAGAGAATCAACAGCCTATCCATGTGACGCAACGCAGCTAGTGAGAGTTTGGTTGGACAGGCTTATGCATCGTTCTGAGGCAGCTGCTGGCCATCTGCAGGAATTTCCTCTGAGCTGAACTCCCTGGCCGTAACATTTTGATTTCACGTTCAGCATCGTGATGACAGTTCGAAGATCATCCGATCCACCGGGGATTGCGCTTGACAAGTGTTTTGAACTTTGCCCGGCCTTGAGTCTTAAACACCACATACCGAAGACTCTTGAACGCTCCTGCAGTTTGAAAGATGGGTGAGGCCTTATCTTCACGGTGCCGCCGATGACTCGGTTCTTGGCCACAGATGCTGGAGCCTTGCGAAGTTCGCCAAAGAGGGCAGAAGTAGCTCTTAGTCTAGCAGTGGCTTTAGAGTACCCAACCGAAGCACCCCACTGCCCCTTCATCTGAAGATCGCCAGCCTTCTGCTCATTGTCCAACGAGGCGACCTTTGCAGAGCTGAAATGAACTGCAACTCTTTCTAAGTTCTAAGACAAGTACTTTGACTCCTTCGACCGCTCAACACGCTCACACTAGTTCTCAACGGAGCCTCAATCAACTCATCCGCGGTGCGGTAGGACCTTCTGGATGGAGGGAGCATTGAAGATCGACAACATGGTCTTGCACCAGCATGCTTAAATGCCGAGACCGAGAGCAATCGAAGAGCAGGTCTTGCGTTGTGCCAAAGCTTGACATGCTTTGACACTCTCCGCTTGTGGAGAGCTTGGGGGAATGAAGCCGCAGTCAACATCTGAGTTCGGTACAGAATGGAGGCAGGGGGGTCTCGTATCAATTTGCAAGACATCTATGAAGGTCTGCTCAGGCTCCGGCTTATCACCATCGACAGCCACGTGCACCTTCGACGAGTTGGCACAGATCACGGAAGGTCAGTGGCCGCACGATATGCCACGGTGGGGGTAGCTGACCCTCGCCCCCCGGTGCAGCATGCAGTACAGACAACTTGTCCTGACGCGCTCGCGTCCGGATTTTGCAGGATACGGATTGAACGACGTGCTAGAACGGCCTCCCAGTCCATTTTCAGGAAGTAGTCGAAGTAGTGCAGCGGCTGCTTCTGAAAAGAATGAACATGAGGAGCGACAGCAAGTATCATTGTATTATAAATTATATCTGCTCACAGTTGCATCATCTTGCATCGTTGCGGATACAGCCAGCCCTGAAAAGTTGTTGCATGGACGCAGAGCTCGTGTGCCTGCCGGTTGAGATTGATCACCGCGGCGTCGCCCTCCAACTTCCTCAGATCCAGCTCTTGCCGCTCCCACTCCTGCGGGGTCCGCAGAGCCAAGTCACAGAACGTCCGTGATGAGAGCCCGAAGCATGCACGTCTTCTCCGTGGGCTCCTGCAGGGCCCCCCCTCATGCAGGCAACGCTTTCGTATGGATTATCCACATAGCGACTGGCTGAAATCAGCCTGATACATTCCATGGCATGGCATGAAACATGGACCCGCGGCAGTCGAAGAGAACTTTTGAACAGCAAGCGATGCGCCAAGTCTCCTGCCAGCTGCTTTGAGCTGCTTGGAAATTGTGACCCGACACGAAACAGGCTGCTGACACGGAGCTAAGACCAGCTGGCTTGCTGCAGGCAAACACCTGAGTATGGAGCCCCCCTTCCAGCAACTTAGGAGTTCTGTTCTTCTTGCCGGCTTCGCAACTTCGACAATGGAAATACTCACCACACTTAGGTCGTCCTTTGGTCTCACCCTCATCCGCAGCGCGTAAACATTGAAGCAAACTCAACCTTCTACTTGCAGACGGAAGTTGCGTGTTGTGATCAGCGACGAGCCTCTCTCTCAGCCTCTCCTAGCTGGCCGAGGCTCCATGCACCCAGCCGAGGTCTGCATGGGGCTCCTAGGTAAAAGCTGGACACAAGTATGCAAAGCTCAACACAGGCTTTCGGCTCAGACAAAACAGGCGAGGAACAACGATACAGTTGGTCGTCAGTCCGGCCATGTCTTGTCAAAGCGACATTGTCAGATCCCTGTTCCTAGACGTGCAGCCCTGGACTGCATCTGATACTCGTCCTTCTCCTCAAAACATTGTGGTTTTCAAACATGCAGCTTCAGCTAACAAGCGCATCAGAAACGGGTCCCGAGAAAGAAAACAACACAGATGTCTTGCATAAGCCCCTCGAAAGCCCTCATCAACACAGGCAGGGGCACCGGTACCGTGCCACCGCGCTTGGAGCTGCGGCCACAGATGATGCACTCCGGCAGCTGCTCCTGGCTGCAGCAATCCGCAGCTTCTTGGATCTTCTTGGGCCTCAAGGATAGCCTCCGCTGGCTCCGCATCCCTGCTTAGCCTGGGCCTAGGCTGTTGCTGCCAGCTGCCTCTGAATTCCTGCATCCCCTGGCCTGGCCCTCGAGATAGCACTGGGCCAGGCGCGGAGCCTCCGTGCGTGGCTCTGAGGTGGCCGTGCCATCCTGGCAATCGCTACGGATCAGCTTCTACGACTTGGAGTTTTCATTGTTCACTCCGTTTGGCTAATGCATGTTCCCTAGGCAGCTTCTCCATATTCTGGATGTCACCGTTGGGCCGTCGCTTGTGGTGACTTGTCATGACACTCCCTTGGTAAACCGGTCACCTGCTGCTCTGGATCTAAGCTGTAAACTGAAAACCTCAACTGGCACTCAACCGGCCTTCATCTGAGCACGGACAGTACAAAACGCTACGGTCTGTCGGCTGGTATGACTGCGATGAAGTCTCTATCAGCGCGCATCGTGGTGCATTCCGAGTGCTCAGAAACACCTACTCCTAAGCCAGCTCCATGACTAAACAAAATCGTCCGCAGAGCAGGCCTCCGAAGCGCTACGCTTCCGCACGGAAGGCGCGGGCTCGGGCCGGCACTGGCAGGATGCCGGCTTATAAGAGCACAGGGGGTCGGGTTATTTTGAACCTTTTGGGTTGCGCTTGGTGCAAGGAACTGCTACTCGGCTTTTGTTGACCTGAGGACCCTTCGACGTTTCCAAGCATCTTTCGTACAGGCCCGAGGGAGGCACCGTGATGAGATGTGCTTGTGATTTCCACACATCCTCAATATTCGGTCCAGTTGCTGATGAAGAAGCCGCTGCCGTTCCAAATGCGGATGCAGACACCATGGAAGAGGACGAGGCAGACCTCGGGTCTGAAAGCAACCGCCTGCGAATGAAATGAGTTTCTTGCTTCACTGCTGATGGGTGGTATGATTTAAAACGTCAGGTGCACCACCACATAGTGGCCACCAACACTGCTACTACCGCTTGTATCAGGCTTGCCACTGCAATGAAATCACAGTCAGAGCACGCTTGTGGCACATCTCCTTCCAGCCAGGAGACGAGCTGCGAGGCGGCCCTAACAGAAAAGTGACAGTTGGGAGGCTTGCCACTCTTGCATTCAAAACCCGCCCGAAAAAGCCACTGGCACTGCCCAGGGGCCTCTCGATGTCTCCTGAGCTAGCACAATATAGGGGAGAGAAAGTATACGACGGCGTTTAGCAGGACTGGGCAAGAGAGAGTGCCGCACACGAAAAACTCAACACTTTAACCTTAATTACTTCACCAACTGAGGCTCCGGAGTGGCGGATCAAAGCCTCGCGGAGGTCTGCAGGTACCGGCAGCAGCTCCTCGGACTCGGGACGAGCTCTCGACAAGGCTTCGTACTATCCCCTTTGAAACGTGTCGAGCTCTAACTTCAGGGCTCGCTGCATGTCGCACGCGTTGACTTATAACTGCGCAGAGTGGCGCCCAATTGCCGCACGGCAGCTTCCAGAGCCTCACAGCGTCAGGTCAGGACGGTCAGGCCGGCAGGGAGACTTCAGCCGCCTCCTCCTCCAGAGCTTTGGCACTGCCATTCGTCAGAGCCAAGGGCGCTGACTCCGAGCCTTGCGATGGTCATGTTCATGAAAACTGCTTGTGAATCTCTATCGTTTCATGAGTGAATGGGACATGAAGAGGCAGGGCCCGGCCTGCTCCCTTGCCAGCCCAGGCTTTCAGGGCCGACTTCCCGGCAGCCTCCTTTGTCGGGTCGGATGCGTGTCACAACAAGAAACACTTACTGTCGGCGATGGTACCGCCAGACGACAAGAAGTGAAGGGTTGGAGCACAGCGAGGAGAACTGCATCAACGGGCAGGATGCCGGCTTCAAGATTGACCCTTTGAGCTGGAGTGTTGCTGCCAAGGGCTGGGTCCTCGGACTGTGACGAGAGCGTCGTAACCGCATCCACGAGCGCGGCGGACGGATGCGCAAGAGGGTACTTGCCTTCGCTCAGTAGAGAGTCTGTGGTGGCGCTACAAGTAGTCGGCTACGCAATGAAAAGCCTCACCTACCCAGGAGACATGCGACCGAGCATCGCCGCACTGCCTTCAGCGCAGCAGCAAACGAGAGCCCTGTCCAGAAGTTGACTGCACTCCAGGGTGGGCAGGCGCTTATGCATTGTGCAGCGCGGATCCACTTCACAAAGTCATTTCGCAAGATCCTGAAGGTTTGACTCTCTGAATCATAAGCCAGACATCTGAAGGAAGTGCCTTTGTCCGCCATGATGTAGCCTGACACGACGGTGCAAGAAGAAATCAGCCGAAATCGTTGGAGCCCAGGGAAAGGAATCCGGGGGCAGCCCCCGAAGAAGCGGCATATTTCCTGCGGTTCGCCGCTCAGGCATTTCTCTAAATCCCTGCGGTACCAGTGCGGGGTAGGCAATACGAAGACTTATTCAAAGGTTCAGGGCCTCTCATCGAGGATCGACTGAGAATCAGACCCATGGCCAGAGCCGCTGGTCTGGATCGGCCGTGCGTGCCGTAGATGAGGCAGCGGCACCTAGAGCCCGAGCAGGTCAGCGCGGGTGATTCACGCAGCGGACTTGATGCTGCGCACAGACATTGCATCATCGTGAAGCTTGCTTGTGCAACCTCCATCTGAGGCGTGGACCCGTCAGCACGAGCTGAGTGGAGGAAGTGAAGCCTATGCATATCGCGAAAAAAAAACTGAATGCAACAGCTGCACGCAAAGAGCTGGTGAGTTCACAACTGCGCGGACCTAAAATTGCGGCACAAGCGGCAAATGCATCCAGTGGCCCGCAAGCTCCTACAGATGTTGGACGGATTGAGCTTTGACTTTCGGCCACTCAGCCACTCAGGCACGAGAGCATACAGTACTGGCCCGACCTTGGGCTTCAACTCACGCCTCTATGTCTAAGCTCACTATCATCAACCAATACATGTCAATACACGATCTACACAGACCCTGGGCGGGCCACAGCTGGTGTTGTCTTCAGACTCAACTAGAAGCGAACACTAACGACATCTTACAACACAGAGACATCATGAGACATACCTCTCTCCGTATACGTAATTATATATATATATATCTTTTCTCAGTGAAAGACTGAGCAGGGGTCGCAAGCTTTTGACGCTTATCGGTCAGTATCCAGAAGTGGTGCTGCGCTACGTTGTGTTCGTCTCACATGAACACGAATGCGGTGTGAATGAATGAAAATATATATGTATATACATATACATACATATATATATATATATAAGTGTGTGTGTGTGTACGTGCGTGCGTACGCACGTACGTATGTATGCATATACATTGACATTGACATGAGACCATCAAGCGACAGCGGTAAACCAATCCAAGATCCATCCGCTGCCCATGTCTCATACGCCAAGCATCCGATAGCCCAGCTCTGGCTGTCAGCGGCACGCGCAGCCGGCGTGAGGGTGCACTCCTGAGGCACACATTCATGTCATCCCTACTTTCTACAGTAAACTTCCCCAAGGAACCATCTCACCCTTTTCTGTTGACAGTGCCATAACAAGGTCATTCCAGACAGGCCCATGGGCACATGGGGAAAGAATCACCGGCATCAATCAGCAGAGTACCACAATGAGAGAGAGCGATATGAGCTTGCTGAGCAGCTTGCTCGATACTTGCTACCGCATCAGCAGGCATTGGGAGAACGACGACGAGAACTAGGATGACCAGCATCACAACCACCACCACCACCACCACCACCACCACGAACAACAACTGCACCATCACTTCATCATCGCCGACGTCACTGGCGACTGCGGGGCACCACTATGGAGAGGATTCGAATTGAACAGGCTTAGGCTTCTCAGCTAGATCCAGAAACAACTGACACCTTGACTCTTTGCTGACTTCATCATCACATGAATCACATGTATCTATCGGAACCAACAGGTGAATTCAAGTTCCCAAGATTCCCGTTAAGTTGAAGTTACAAGAAAGGTTACACCAAAAGAAGACCGCCTACTGCAGCGAATCTGCGTGCCAGCAGCTAAGACTAGTTAGGGACGCGTCAAAGAAGCGGCCAACTACCGGGGTTCTTGCTTGGGCCACAATAGACCTGCAAAGCGAGCACTTCCCATGATATCAAAGACCCCAGGGTCGGAGTGAAGGGCAGCGAGGCTGTAGCGTTCACCAGGCAGTCCTGAGCTCGCTACAAGTTTCTTGGGGAAGGTTCAAACGAGACCAAAAGAGCCTTGACTCTGCCCTAGAATCTGCATCTGCTAGATCATGAAAAGCCTCTTAAGCGTGACTGTCTGACCAGCTTGCCTTGCACGCCTTGCAGAAAGCAAAAGATGCATCAGAACCCGCACCCGCTGCAGTTGACCTGGGCTTCCGTTGGACCTTTACTGTCACCTGCCAGCTCCTTCGGGCCGTCCAAGCTTCGAAAGCATTCCTTCGCTCAAGATGGCACACGGCACCGACATCAGCCAAGTGAGCACATCAATGCAAGCAGATCTCCCAGCTGTGCTCATGATCATGATCTCCAAACCGCTCTGCGACTCCTTCCGCAGCATCTGCATTGCCGAGCGAGAGGAAGCCCTCAACCACCTGCAGCCCCGGCGGAAGGGAAAGTAATGGCTTACAGCAGTTCGCCCTGGCTGTGCAAGTGCAGAAAATGCAAGCTCGCACTGACTATGCAATCACCATGGGTTGCGAACCATAGTATCTTTTGTGCATTCCTGCCATTTCACACTCAAGAGGGATGAGACCGGCTAGCCGAGCTGCGTCGAAATTAGCGACAGGTGATGACAACACCTCTCCGAGAAACGGAGACGTTACAAAGCTCGTTTGGCTGTCTGTGCGAATCTGTGCTAACCTGAACAAGTGGCCGTGTGCCGAAACATTGCTCGCCTTTTGCGCCATTCATTCTTTTCACACCTTTCGTTAAGGTCCTGGTTCTGCGTGTCGAAACGGCCATTTCACGAAAGCTTTTCTGTGCAGAACTTTTTCGGTATCGTGAAAGCTAAGCACCTGTCCTAAGTCGTCCCAGTTCCCATGCGGACGAGTCGGACGAGCTCCAGGGATCGCAAGCAGAGACCTGGCAAAGCGAGGCCTCCGCTGAAGCTGGAGGCAGCACAACCAAGCGATCCAAGCCTCGGAGAATCAGGAACTCTCGGAGAGACTTCTGGGCCGCAGTGCGAGCCGGCACGTGAAATCAGAAGGGAGATTTGCCAGCAGAAGCCATTGGGAGGGACGTGATTGAGATTGGATCAAGCTGCCTGGCTCTATGAGCTCGCTTGCTGCCGCCTCCTCGCAAAACTCCCCAGTAACGGTCCCAGTCAGAGTGCGTGATATCCCGACCACTATCTGTGTGCGATGTTTACCAATGCTGAATGGCCACTCCAGTTTGACTTCCCAATCTCCGTCTCCAAACGCGCTAAGGCTGCTAGCACTGCGGAGCTCGGGGAAGCGCACCTTAGATCTGCGCCGCAAGAGGCATTAAACGCGGCTTCTGGAACACAAAATCAGCGAATCCGCAAGCCGTCGCCCGGTATACTTAGTCTGTTCAGCTGTGCATCGGTCGCCTTCCGTGGACTGCCTCCAGCTTAAATCATGAACCATGTCCCATGTCATGTTCCGCATGGTGACTTGATTCGCACCCCACTAAACTGCAAAGCTGTCAGACTCTTGGATCACTTGGTGCACTCTGTGCCCGTGACCTTCACCGCTTCCGCCGCAGTCCACTGTTGTCGGACCTAGGTGGCAGGTGCTTCAGACCGTTGTACATCATTAACGGGCGAATTCACCGATGTTCTCATGAACGAGTTTGTTGAAGCAAATGCCGCATCGAAGCCTCTCGAAAGCCTGGGGCCTCATGCGCAAGCAAGTGCAGATTTTCAGACAAGCCTGCGAGGATGGATCTAGGATGCTTCTGTTGTGGATTTGCAGTGCGAACAACTATTTATGATCACCATAACTCCAGGTGGCAAGAAGAGCCGCTATCACAGCCGATGCCTCCATGGCAATGCATTCAATCATCGGTTGAAGTGCTCAGAGTAGTTGATTCAACTTGTACACAAGTTCGCTAGCAGCTAGCAAGTGCCTTAGAAAAGACTCAGACAGAAGTACTCCATATGTAAAGTTCTTGTGGTTGGACTTTGAATTTCCCGTGTTTCATGTCTAAAATCCATCAAAAAAAAGGCGAGAAACCCCAGACGGATGAAACGTGCCTGCCCGCTCTGCTCTGCACCTGACGGATGTGGGAAAATCGAACACTTGAACACCTTCGGGCGCACGTGCATGGTGCACTCAGTGCCATTATGTGCCATTGCCTTCCTTCTGCCATGGCCAGGCCAGGGCTGCGCTTGAAGACAAGAATCCCCTGCCTTCATGCACCAATACTGGCCGCTTGGCTCTCAACTGCTGCTCGGCAAAGCATGCCGCTTGCACCAGAGCCTTCCAGAGAACAGCTACAGTAGCATCCTGGCTTGGCTGGAAATCCCTTCACGAGTGCCGGCTCATTCAGTCCTCCCCATCTTCGGGAATGCAGCGGTGGTACTGGAAGCCTGCAAACGGTGGTGAAAAGACTCAGTATATCTCCAAAAACTGAGACGATGATCGAAGTTCTGTTTCTGCAATGTCTCTTAAAGATTGCCTCCCACTGCTTGAGTTCGACGCAACCAGAAGCACGAAAACCGATGCACTGCTGGCACTGCTGTTGCTTGCACGGGCCTAGACTGTTTGTCCAATTCTTGTCTGCGCCATGTTAATGGATGTTGCATGTCTTCGCGAGGCTGTGCTGGCAAAGTGCATAAAGAGCGCTCATCATCATCCAGCTCGGCTTCCGCTGAGTTCCTTTGTTCTGCGCTCTGTGTCCAACTCTCGCATGGGTGTGAGGCTTGAGAAAGCCTCCATGGGCCCGTGCACGCGGTTGGGCCAGAACAAAAACGAGTGCAAGTTCCCCCCTCCTCCCTTCTACAAAGCTGCTCTTCGAATAGGTTTGCCAGCCAGGCATCGCATTGGCAAAATGGTTAGGCTCGGTGGCGCTGACGTTGATGATGGCCCTTGCGAGTAACGAATAAAGCGACTACATGTGCCTCAACCGTGAAGGTGCATTAGTGCTAACAAACAAGCGGTAACAAAAGTAGCCGATTCAGCTGGTGCTGGTAATGACAATGACGTACAGAAGAGAAAGAGGAGGAGGATGAGAAGGAGGAGGAGGGCAATGATGATCATGATGATGTTGATCATGAGAAGAAGAAGAAGAAGGAGGATGAGGATGAGGATGAGGAGGATGAGGAGGAGCAGGAGGAGGAGGAGGAGGAGGAGGATGAGGATGAGAAGGACGATGACGGTGTTGGTCATGAAGACGATGTCGACGACGACGATGATGATGACAACGACGAGGTTGATGAGGATGATGATGATGATAATGATAATGATAATGATAATGATAATGATAATGATAATGATAATGATAATGATAATGATGATGATGATGATGACGACGATTATGATAATGATGTTGGAAGCGGTTGCGGCGGCTGGGTGTTGTTTTGATGGCGGTGGCAGATCTTCTGCTACTTTGTGGCGGCCTGCAGCGGTTTCGGTGGTGTCGGTGCGCGGTGAATCACAAAAGCGCCGCCGCCGACTACATGAAACAGTGTCTCTCAAGCCCGGCCACTGACAGTTCGGATCTGGACCGGTATTGTACCACAAGTTACCACCAATGCTGAGCCAGGCTCCTGATGGGCACACAGCCCTCAGAGGGATCCAGTGGGCGCTCGTACTCGTGCAGGGCACAACGGCAGCGTGCATGCCTCGGGTCGGGTCGGAGGACTTCACACAGGAATGGGACGGTCCGACGATGTCTGCGGAGGCTAACGATTTGCCTGTTGCAACCCACACACACACACACACGCACACACACACACACACACTTCCAACAAAACAGGCGCGTCATACGCATCATTCAATTCCACACTCTTATCCAAATCCTGCGAGCTACTCTAAAGCTGCACAGAGCATGCTGGACTTCAGACTCAGCTGCTCTGCAGTGCCAAGGTATAAACCTGGAGCAACCAGCGATGGCGGCAGCGCCTGGAAGGGTGGTCTGGTTCGTTGATTCGGTTGCTGTCAGTTGCTGTATGTTTTGTCAGAGCTCCAAGAAGACTTGGGATCTGAAGACCGCACAATCTGCCTCATCGTCGGTAGCAGGTGCGGACATCGCTCGAAGACTCTGCTTCAACGAGTGGAAATCTCGCACAGGTCTTCTCGAGAGCTTCAAAGTGCGAGAAGGATGCTGCTAGGAGCTAGCTCTCATCTTGTGCTGACATGGGCTTGTCTGGCTGCTATCAGGCGATATTGCTGTGACGAACCTTCATGAAACTGATGCGGGGGCCAGATGGCTCGAGACGGCAGAAAATATACACAAACACAGATGCCTCGCACCCAAAAAGGCAAACGAATGGCAGATATTCGCAAAGGACCGAGCGCTGACCGAGGCCCTTCGTGTCCTCCAGCACGGCCGACAGCTCGGAGGGAAGAGGCGACTCGCCCTGAACCTGCCGGTTGAACCCCTGAGAGAGAGAGAGAGAGAGAGAGACAGAGAGAGAGAGAGAGAGCCCTAGCTGCGGTCCTGCTCCCAGTGAACTGATGCGTACTGAGTGTATTGTTGCAGGTGCTCAGATCCTGTCGCAGTCCTATGTACGCACGACCCCCCTGCTGGCACCGTCAGCGGCACCAGCAAATCCCGCAAACGCTGTTGGCACCAGCGGTCCACCTGCATCTGCAACTTGCACGCACCACTGTGCTCCCGAGTTAATGATCTGGTGCTACTATTTGTGGCGTCTGAAGTAGATTGTTTCGCATGCAGAAACACCAGGCGGAAGGAAAACCAGCGTGAGTTCTGGCATGCTCGGCAGTCACTGCGGCGGCGACAGTGCACAAACCCGTTTCGGAGCTGAGGCAAAAGATTTGCAACAGGCTTCGAGCTTGCAACAAAACGGAGTGGGCCTGCTTTGCCTCCCACATTTGCGGTGTCTGCACCTGCCCTCGTGCCTGTCATCTGAGAGCTGCAGCAAGGAGCATGGGTGTCTGCATGTCTCCGACTAAAGGGCGGAACGACGCATCACTGCAGCTCAACGATTTCATTGTCTCAAATCAGGGACCATAGCAGTGCAGCTTGCGGGCACCTGGATCTGCTTTCGGTGTTCCAGTCGCTGGTCCCTGACTAGTTCATCATCGTTTCAACAATCTACAGTTAGTGCATGCAGGGCTTAGGGCTGAGGGATCTGCTACTGAGTCGGTCTGCCGTGTCTGATTATTTCGAACTATCTTGTTTCACACCCGCGCCTAATCAACATCCAACCCCAGTCTCATGTATGTTCTGCGGTTCCGAAAATGAAACCATCGACTGGTCCTCCAGGCATCGTCCTCTGACCACTGCTCTTCCTTCTTCACCTTCTCAAGGACCTTGAACACAGTCCGGAACTGTGAACATTCCTAGGGCCGATTCGCAAAACTTACGGACCACTTCAAATCTATCTTGCTCTGCCAGTCAATCTGGAGTGCTGTCTGCTTTGAAACAAGCACGACAGCCGCTGTGATATTCGCGTAATGCCGACCTCAAAGAACCCATGTCAGAGCTCTAGGACCTTCAGAGGTCATAAGCTGAGGAGTGCCTTCTTCTTCTGATCCAGCTCAGCACTCTGGTCCCACGCTCGGGCCTCGGATGCACCCACCAAGCGCCGCGGCTCTTCGGCTTTGCGCTGAAAGTGGACCAGACACCTCCCTCTGCTTCATGAAGTCCTCAAGCTTCTCGGTCTTTGGCCTCGGCATTGGAACGAACCTGATGCATGCACGGGTGATTCAGCAGAACAGAAACCGAGGGCAGCACTTGCCTTTGGACTCCTGGGTCGCAGCATGCAAAACCGAGAGCATTCCGTATCCCATCGCCATCGACTTTGCCTGGAAGCTGGTATCCTTTCTGCAAGACATGAGGAGCGTCCAAGCGTCGTCAATTATATTCAACAGCTTCTGCTCCAGTTCCAAGGTCTGCGTCTTTTCCAGCTCCTCAAGTTGCAACGTCATCTCGTCCCGAGAATCACCGCGCCACCCAAAAGGGCCTTCTTGCGCACGGGCTCCATTTCTCTCTCCCGGGCCTCGCAGGAAAGCACTGACGTTGTACCCGAGGCCCCTCGACTCGCCTCGTAGAGCATTTTTCCTTTCGAGAGCTTCTCGAAAGCATCCTGCAACCCACCAGACAGCTCGAAACTCGAGCGCGGTTGAATGAGATTAGGCGTTTTCGGTTTCAGGCTTGAGTTTGTCGGACGAACCCTATGATCACAACAGGATCCGGACAAATGCGGAAGACGACCGCAAGTTCTGAATCGCGCTTTCCTCTGCAGCCATGGACGTCAAGCTCACGTGCGCAAGGTTTCACCACTAATTAAGTGGTGAAGAAATCTGCCGAAAACTATGGCACTGAAGGCTCTCTCGAGTAATTGTGCACCATCCCGTGCAGTGTTCACAGTGCCCAAGATCTTAAATCCCATTCGCTGAGTCTTGAGGCTTCGGCGTGGTGCTGAGCACTCCAACATGCTGTTGAAGACTGCAAAGGACACCTGAATGAAGACGTCGACACCCCACCTAGCAACAGGTCCCAACAAGACGTCGTTGCCTCATGCACTCAGCATCGAGCAAAAAGAGATCCAGGCTCAGCCAAAAACAATTAGCACGGCACTTGCCTGTGCGACTCTGTGCAGATGCGGGAACTGCGGAGTGGCAGGCTCTGACCCTGCTCGTTGCGCAGCCTTGCTTTGTTACATGTCATAGGCGCAGCATGTACCAAGCGGGCATGCTTGCCACTCCCATAATCACAGGAGGATGGGGATGGGGGTCAAGTCAAGAGGACTGCAAATATTGCAATTTTGGAATTCCGGAAGTGTGTAGGCATACGAATATGGAGGAAATAAGCAGGAAATTCACCTCGGCCCCGGCCGAAGAGGTCAGAGGTTCCCACGAAGACCCTCTGTTTACCCTCCTCATAATCCACACACCCCCCGTCCGTGTCTGCCTGTGGACGAATTGACCGGACCCAAGACACGTTTGTGAAATTTCATGTCCAACACCTCGTAGGCCCAGGCAGTCCGACATAAATTGTCTCTTGCCTTCCCGGTTCCTCCCACCACCACCCTCACCACGGCCCCTGCCCTCTGCCCCAGTCTCTGGATCTGCGGCTGGGCCGAGGCGGACGACACGAAGCGTTTACCTTCCTGAGGTTATGACTCAGTATGACCCTCTCGCTTAACCCCCGCTCACCTCCCCATGATGGAAGCTCTCTGTGTTGGTGCGCGCATCAGCGTCGCCTCGAATTCTCAACAGAGACCTGCGGCGTCCTAAGTCCGCACAAAAGCGATGAAGTTGTAGCAGAAAGTGCGCGCCTAGCTGCGACCCATGTTCAAGATGCATTGGTTCAGGGCTAACTATTGCAACTAAATTCTTGCCTGATTGTGCGACTCGCATGCTGCTGCTAGATGAGAACCGAACATTTTGGGGCCGCCAAGGCTGTGCACGCTGGCTGATTTGTCATGAGTCAACTCCAGCCGGGAAAATTTGTGCACCACTGATGCGTAATCACCCATTCTGTGCATGTGCACAAGGGTTAGGACCGTTGCTGCACCTCCTTTCCGTATCACCTGCTGGGAATCACACCCTGTGGCGATCGCTTGGTGCTGCTGCTGGCACTAAGGTAGCCACAGGAAAGAATGCAGGGATTCCAAGTCACAAGTGCTGCAGCGAGAAACGTCCCGAAGAAGAGCAGGACACCGGAAAGATGATCGTCGTGAAACAGGTGATTACACTTCAACCTCGGCTTGAAATATGTGGTAGCTCCGGCTGCAGTCTGGAAAGCTTCGGTTGGTAACACGCACAGTTGACTGACGAAGGTTATCCCGGTTGGCATGCACATCAACACATGCAACTGAAAGCTTTTGAGCTCGAAGATTCGTGCCCGCAGGCTAGACTACGGCTACAATGGCGGTTGCAAAACCTTAGCGCATCGGCACAAGGTGCATGCAAAAGGGGTCAAAGTCAGCTCTGTGCAATTGAGAAGCTGGTAAAAGTGCATGCCTGCGGCAAGACCAACAGTGATGATTGTCGCCGATAGTGTAAGGAGGAAGTCCTTGCACATAACAGGATGAGACTACTCACCAGTATTCGTGCGAAAGGCCCCGTGAACATGCGACGCATGTTGATCATTGCTGCCGTGGTTGGAGCTGCTTGAACACAACTGAATCTGGAAGTTATCAGGGCTCACCGGAAGCTGGCTACTGTACGGGCTCGTTAACATAAGAGTGCTACACAAGTGATATGTCGAGTGCCGCCCCGCCCCCCTCCTCCGCTGTGGGCTGGCGCCTGTGTTGTTGTCTTTTTGCTTTTGGATCTTTTTTCAGTTTGTCAGTTTCCCTGTGGTGGGGCTAGGCAAAGGAGGACTGCTGTTGTGGTTCACCACCACACCACCACTATTCCCCTCTGCTTGCTGCAAATGCACCCAAGCTCCATGGAAATGAGCATACTGGGTAAGACTAGTCTCGTTTTGAAACTCTGCAGCCAAAGTACAATCACAGCGAGTGAACATGCAAATACCATCAACGTTCAAGCCAAGACTGACTTCCAGTCTTGACACAGTAAGTTGTGGCATGAACATACAGCCGATGCAGTCATCCTTCAATAGTCATCTCGGGAAGCTAACGCACCGATTAACAAGCCACCTTACTGCTGTTAGTAATTAGCCAACATCCACTGACGTCCGATGCTTGTACTGTTGTCTGGGGTCTGTTGTGATGTGTGCCATGGTTATCCTCTGAATTGTCGGTGCGGGGTCGTCCCCCGATGGGGGTTAAAGTAAGCTGCTTCTAGAAACGTTAGTGTCAGTTGCTGCCGCACTTGTCTGTGTGTGCCCCTGTCTCAGTGGCATGGTCCCGGGCCCGCACCTTTGGTGTGGCCAGTGGCTCCGTCCCTGTGTAGCACTGGCTGGCACCCGGCCACGTGGATCGTGACATTGCTGCTGTGGTTTGGGTGGTGGGCTGTGCTTCGGTGCGATCGGTATCCACACCCGCCGCCCATCAAAATTTTTTTGAGATACGAAGCTGCCCTGTTCCGACAACTCGCGAACATCACGAGGAACGTGACACCGACAGGTCAAATCACATCGACCGCGGCGATCCCATCCTCCGACAAGACCGGTAAGAGGATCCCGCCCCGCACAGGTTTGATCTCTGCTTCTGTTGTTACAGGCTTGGGAGGGATCCCATGGTGGGCGGGAGTACCATCGGGGACCTGGGAGCCCTTGGCGTGAATCACAAGAATAGGGTTGGAGAATATCAGAATATTATCAAGTCGGCGACTAATTACAGTACCAATTATTCAGATTTGTTTATCACGAAACCCACTCACTACAGAAGTCATCACACGAGTGCATTGCACAGGCCAAGTGTCCAGAATGCAATACTTCGTCCGGCGCAGCATTGATGCCATGCCTGATGGCTATCAAAAGGCTTTCTGGATTTCCGGATCTCATCCCTCATGACTTGTCGACCAAGCGAAGCGAATGAGACGGGATGTAGGAACCTGTCAACACCGAGTCTCTTCTAGTACCAGCTGGACCTATGACGTTGACCAAATCCTGCAAAGATCGAAATGCTTCGAAAGGAGTCGTCCCCTCAGCACATGTCAATGTATATCCAAGGCACACACCCAGCACACAAAAACCGTAGGGAAGGCAACCAGCCACATTGCCTTGGCACGTGAATAGAGACCGTATGAGGGAGAAAGATAAAAGAAGAGAAGGAGATATACACAGAGACGGAGAAATACCGCGGTGATTACCGTTGCATTTCTGCGAAGTCCTTGCTTGCCTGGACATGTGGAGAGGCTTTGCCCTAACTCAGACTCAGGCTTACAGTACCGGCTTACCTGCCTGGCATGGTAGCCAGAGACCCAGAAATCAGACAAGTTGCCAAAGCAAGTATGAAGGCAACCACCTCAGCACCAGGAGACTGACATTCAACCGGCGTGCAAAACCACAAACTCCGAGTTCGAATCGGGTGGAGGTCGTAAAGACAAGTCTCCCGCAGCTTGTTGACTCATAATTGCGGCATGGCTACTGCTCACAGCACTTCAGGCTGCATGTGGCTGCATGCCTTTTGAACTTGTCAAATGTGTTGGTGTGCGCACGGGACCCTAGAAGGATGACTGCAGCCGGATGGCGCCACCGTGATTGTCTCCAGCTTTGAACCTAGTCTGAGAAGGGCAGCTATGTGTCTTGATCGGCCTTTCCTCATGAAAGCTGCCAAAGCTGCAGACTCCCATAAGCTTGCCGCATTCGCTATCCGCTAGACTATCAGAATCATCTCGGCTAACCAGTCGCGCCTCGCTGCGACCATGTCCAATTGCGCCCAAAGAATGGGCATTGTCGCACCAAGCAGCCAGCGGTACCTTTCAAGATGGCTTTAGCATGCCCCGATTCGAAGCTCTCCTTCCCACTCGGAATCCCAATACCGCAAAGGCACGGGAAGGAATACTGGCCGAGCTGGCTCGTCAACCCATCGGACACGGTTGTGCGAACAACCTTCTCAAAACTCTCCACGGACCCAAACCTCGGCTTGGCTGCAGAATCTCCATGTCAAGCAGCAATATAATAGACGGAGCAACATGGATCAGTCCCCTTGAACTTCTCGGCCCCATGGACTCATGGCCAGGGCACCAGCGATGAACACATTCCGTGACCACCTGGCTCGACTCTGGGCCAGAGGAGTGGCTGTCTGAACCCTCCAAATTTTCCTTCGCAAGACTTGACCGCAATATAGCAACTGACAGTACAGCAAGTTGCAAGGCTGGCACCATCGCACAAAGCAAAAGCTTGACGGCATCCACAGCAATGGCAACCCTGACCCCCCTCTCTGTCGTTCTCTTTCCTTCTCCTCATCATCACCATCCACAGCAGCTCACTGCAGCTCAAGGAGGCAACCAATGGCCGAAATGCACAGCACAACAGCAGCCAGATCAACCAGAAACAGGGGCCAATTCCGTGATTCGTGTGACGGTTTGGCATGTCGAAGCGTTTGCAAGCGTCTTGATCTCGTAGTGCTGAGAGAATGGAGACGGCGTGACGAGTGAAATTGACGAGTGAGCATGATGTAATTGCAGAAGACCACGAACAAAAACAGTGCACTTCCGGCCGCGCCTGCCGGTCACATTGAGGCTCCTCCTCATCCTCGTGGCCAATTTCGCAGCAGGTGCACTTGGCTTCATCAAGCCTAAGTCGAAGAAGGACACAGGCATTCCGGCATTCCATAGTTCAGCGACAGGTGCTTCCTAAAGCTGAACTCGGCAATCGACTATCAAAGTGCGCTGCGGCTACCGATTGCGATTGAGGAATGCTTGGACTCTACGATGGCATGAGGAAAAGCCCCCACAGAAAAAGCAAAGTAGCCCTGCTCAGAAACACCCTATCTCTTTGGCTCACTGTACAGCGTAGTAGTGCTGCGAGAGTAGCTTGAAGTTCGTAAGCTGGTCATGAAGCTGGCGCACGCTGTCGTAATAATTCCTGCAGCACCAGGGCGAGCATGACGCAAGCGGCAGCAGCTCCGGGATTGCTGGCTCAGCTGAACTGAAGAGAGTGGGGTGAACCGAACCTGACACAGCCGAGTTTCTGAAAGGCTGCAGTCCCGAAGAAAAAGCCCACCACTCCTGGAGCTAAGCAGCCAGTTTTGACACACTGCAGCGGCTTCAGAATATGTACACGCCAGATGCACTCTGTCGTCTTACGTCGTACAGATGAGGACAGTCGAGGTGCCAACACCTGCGAAAGCCAACAGCCCATGATAGTCGAAGAAGGTGTGTATCACCAGCTCCGTAATCATTACCTCAGCCCGAAGTGCACAGAGGACGAGCTTACGTTTGACCTGCATCTGGCATGAGGCACTCTTGTAATTGCTGCAAGCAGGGGACCACCATGCTGCCAAAAGCGATTGCCAGTGTGCAGGGGCCAAGAAACGTCGGCCTGATCTTCAAGAGCAGCTTGTTCTGATCCTCGTGGCTCTTGACGAAGGCTGCATACTCGAAGATGCACCAAAGCCGTTGCACCTTACCCAAACATCTTGAACATCTTGATACTTGATGCCAACCTGTGCATACCCAGACGAAGCAGTTAGACCCTGTGGCGCCGCCACTCGACCACGTTGCAGCCAGAAAAATGTAGAAAAAGGTGACACCAACGTGGTGGTACAAATTGATTGTTTGTTGCTTGCTGACTTCGTTTAGTTGATGCTGTTGCTGGCACTGTCGCTATTGCTATTTTGCCGCTGCGGTTGCGGATGTTGCTGATGCCATGTTGCTGTTGCTGATGCTATTGCTGATGCTGGTGCTGGTGCTGGCTCTGGTTCTAGTGCTGTTGCTGCTGCTGCTGCTGCTGTTGTTGCTGTTGCTGCTGTTGCCGTGGCTGCTGTAGCGACTCTTGTCGGTGTCGCTGTTCCTGTTGCTGTTGGTTGTCGTTGTTGTTTGTGCTGTTGCTGTTGCTGTTGTTGTTGTTGTTGTTGTTGTTG